CATTGAAATGTTCAAAAAAATTGTAAAGGGAAGATTATAAGAGAGGGTTTCGCAAGCCAGCAAAAGTTACTGGCATGCCATTTTTGGCACGCGTGCCAGGGGTTGCCCAACCCTTAACTAGACCTTGCTCCTTCAGATTGCCACTTGTTCTGATAGATGGCACATGCACTTTCTGAGCAGCACTTCAAAACGTACAAAGTGGAAAATTGAGTCTCTGAATGGTTTGCCTCAAAACAAGGAAAGTTCTATTGGTATGGTATCCCCATATTCCCTGAAAGATGGGGAAAATGAGTAGCTCACAATGGACATTACCTTGAGTAAAGCACTTCTGATGTTTCTCTTGAAATTATCGTGTTTTCTTTGATTACAAAATCCGCATTAACTGGTACAATTAGTATGTCCTGTAACAGAACAAATTCATAAAGCCTCTGGTCCAGATGAATCTTAGTCATAAAATATCATCACATACATATACTTACGAATCCTCCATGGGTATGTCAGAAAGTATAGAAGAATATTGAACATCTTGTTTCTGCAATGACTTTGTCCTTTAGGTGGGCACATGCATAGTGTTAGAAATAAGGTAGAGCCCCCAAATTCAGGGGTCCTGGAAGAACACAAAACATACTCGGGAGCCAGGCAGCAAGACAAACATCTTTACTTCTATACAGAAGGTGCACAAACATGGTCTGGAAGCAGATGCAAACCAAAGAGGTGGTGTGCTCAGCTTTATAATACCTGACGCAGGTGACCTGTCCTTTGCTCCCGATTGGAGCTCAGGAACAGTCTTTCGCGATTGGCTAATTAAAAGGGAGGGGTTGGCCATTGCTGTTTCAAGATGGCAGCCCCCAGGGGAGCTGCAAGCCACGTGGCCAGCTGACGGCTGACAAGTCATGCAGTACAAAATGGCAGCTGTCTAAACTGTTATTTGAAAAGATGACTTGTTTATTCTCACAAATGGAACTGATGTTTACCACCTTGTAAATTCAGCCCTGAACACTGGACAATAAATGTGCAGCTTTTATTTCAACCTCTGCTTACCTGCTATCCCTGGAATGTATAGTGATGGCCTCAAAAACTTTAGGGACAGATAAAGCCAATGGACATATCTCTGGTCAGGCTGTGAATATAAAAAAAACCTTTGCATCCAAAATAACAAAAGGTTTCAACTGCAAAGCAGCCATGGTACCTGGGGTTCCTCTATAAAGAATGACAAACATTAGGCTATATTCAAGAGAGAATAGATTCTCTCATCATTTATGTTTCTATCTCGCTCCCTCTCCCTTTCTCTCTAAAATCAATAAAAAATATATTTAAAAAAGTGACAATAAAACCAGTATAACATGGGTTAATTACTCCCAATAAAGAAGTTAACGGGATACAAAAAAAACAAGATGGCGACATAGGTAAACACCAGAGTTTGCTGCCTCGAACAACCACTTCAAAAATACAACTAAAAGACGGAACGGACTTCATCCAGAACCACAGGAAGGCTAGCTGAGTGGGAATTCTACAACTAGAAGGAAAGAGAAAAGCATACCGAGACTCAGAGGAGGCGCAGTACGGAAGTAAAATACTAAGGTGCAGAGGTGCATGCGGAGCGGGCTGGCGGCTGAGGGCGCAGTTGTCATTTTCAATCGGGAGGGAGTTTCAGGCTCTGAGCTCCAGTTCTGGGCGAGTCTCTAGGGACCCAGACTCATACGGAAGAAGCGGGACTGTCTGGCATTGGTCAGAACTCGAGGGCATTTTTCTATCCGAGGGGCTTGCAGCGATTACCAGGACACTGAGAAGCAGAGCTTCTGAGGGCAGGACTGAGAGCAGCCATAACTGCTAGCCAAGCCCTGTTGACCCATGGGACCCGCCCCGCCCAAGCCCTGCAGGGAGGCCTCTGCTGGATAGCTGCAGGCAAAGGCTAGATTAACACCTCCCTGGAGATCCAGGAGCCAGGAAGCCCAGACGTCAGAGTGGGACCATCCAGTTTGCAGCTCCATGGAACCATAAAAGACACACTCAGGGGGCAGACTCAGTGAGAACCAAAGCCCCATTGAAGCAAGTCTTGTCCCAGAGGGGTGTCTCCAGCACAGAAGTTCTCCCACTGCAGACACAGCTGATTCTCACAGCAAATTGGCCTGGAGGCCAATTCCTCCCAGTGATAACTACAACAATCAAGGCTTAACTACAACAAGCCTATGCAAAAAGCCCACAAGGGGGTGCACCAAGAGTGTCTACCTCAGGTAATTGAGACACTTAGCACACAAAGGCACTCTATCGACACAGCGAAGCATAAAAAATGCCAAGACAAAGAAACGACACAAATGACAGAAATGGAGGAAAGCAAACTGCTGGATATAGAGTTCAAAACCACACTTTTAAGGTCTCTCAAGAACTGTCTAGAAGCCGATGATAAACTTAGTAAGGCCCTCGAAAAGACTGTTGAGAGCGCCGATAAATGTCGTGAGATCCTCAAGAAATCTAGTGAGACCCTCGAGGTTGTGATAAAGGACCAACTAGAAATTAAGCATACACTGACTGAAATAAAGAATATTATACAGACTCCCAACAGCAGACCAGAGGATCACAAGAATCAAGTCAATGATTTGAAATACGAAGAAGCAAAAAACACCCAACCAGAAAAGCAAGATGAAAAAAGAATCCAAAAATACGAAGATAGTGTAAGGAGTCTCTGGGACAGCTTCAAGCGTACCAACATCCAAATTATAGGGGTGCCACAAGAAGAGAGAGAGCAAGATATTGAAAACCTATTTGAAGAAATGACAGAAAACTTCCCCTACCTGGTGAAAGAAATAGACTTACAAGTCCAGGAAGCGCAGAGAACCCCAAACAAAAGGAATCAAAGAGAACCACACCAAGACACATCATAAGTAAAATGCCAAGAGCAAAAGACAAAGAGAGTATCCTAAAAGCAGCAAGAGAAAGAAAGTCAGTTACCTACAAGGGAGTACCCATACGACTGTCAGGTGATTTCTCAATAGAAACTTTGCAGGCCAGAAGGGAGTGGCAAGAAATATTCAAAGTGATGAATGCCAAGAACCTACAACCAAGATTACTTTATTCAGCAAAGCTATCATTCAGAAGTGAAGGTCAGATAAAGAGCTTCACAGATAAGAAAAAGCTAAAGGAGTTCATCACCACCAAACCAGTATTATATGAAATGCTGAAAGGTATCCTTTAAGAAGAGGAAGAAGAAGAAAAAGGTAAAGATACAAATTATGAACAACAAATACACATCTATCAACAAGTGAATCTAAAAATGAAGTGAATAAATAATCTGATGAACAGTATGAACTGGTGATTGCAATAGAATCAGGGACATAGAAAGGGAATGGACTGACTATTCTTGGGGGGGGTGGGGGGTGGGGGGTGCGGGAAGAGATTGGACAATAATCATGCACCTGTAGGTGGGGAGTGAGGGCGGAGGGTGGGGTGGGAACTGGGTGGAGGGTTGTTATGGTGGGAAAAAAGAGGAACCAATGTAATAATCTGAACAATAAAGATTTAATTAAAAAAAAAAGAAGTTAACGGGGTAACAATGAGAAATTCTTAAGGTTTCCAATGAAAATCAGGACAAGAAAAATCATTCCAATTATAAAGTACACAGATGCCAATTTGTGGTATTCCAAAGCTTCATATTCATATTAAAAACTATAGATGTAAGCAGGAGAACCCCAATCGTGGGCTACCTACTTCATGAATATAAGGCAAAATACTTGCCACATTCTGATGTCAGTCACTGCATTGTAAATTCCAAACTACTGAGTGGAAGATACAGAGGCCTGAAAGGCTGATGAGGGACAGGATGCTTTACATGCTGTAGTTCCACCACTGCCAAAAGAATGGCAGCTTAGAAGATAAAAGTGAAAAACCAGAGGAACTGGAAATGAGAAATGAAAGAAATAGCTGAGTTCAGTTAGCAATGCAGCCTGAGAAAGGTGTACTTTCTCCATGTTCAGAGTTCATGCTGATTCTTCATCCTGGGTACAATAAAGTCACTGGTATTGCAATATACCTCTTAATTATTGCTGGAGTCCAACCCCAGCAGGTCCAGGGGTCCCCAAAGGTGTGGACGGAGTCGGCGAAGAAGGAATGACATGGAGACAGCGTTCAGTGGATCAGCAGCCTAGCCAGGATCTCTAGCCAAGTTTTGGTCAGGCTCTCCAGCGAAGTTCTGGTTAGGATCTCCAGCCAGGTTCTGTGTCCATATTCTCTTGCTAGGTTCTCCAGCCAGGTTCTCTAGGTTCTCCAGCCAGGTTCTGTAGCCATGTTCCCTCGCTAGGTTCTCCAGCCAGGTTCTATGTCCATGTTCTCTTGCTAGGTTCTCCAGCCAGGTTCAGTCACCAGGTTCTAGTCAGGTTCTCTTGCCATGTTCTATCCAGATTCTGTAGCCAGGTTCTGTCTCTAGGTTCTGTGGCCAGTTTCTGTCCAGGATCTTTTGCCATGTTCGCTCGCTAGGTTCTGTCTCTAGGTTCTGTGTCCTGTTGTCTTGCTACATCTGTATTTATACCAGTTGATTCCAATCCTATCAATCTCTATTCCAAAGGGTAGGGCGTTTCTTATCTCCATTCCAGGGAGTAAAGATTATGTGGCTTAAGCATGATTGTTCGTAGTTAAAGTGATTAATTACCTGCCTGGCACTTAGTTAAGAGGTTTTATTCCCTCCCTAACTTCAGGGGAAACTCCCTATCTGGGGAAACAACCTTTCTCAGAGAGGTGACCTTGGTTAAAACACATAGTGCCAAGAAGGTGAGCAAACATATTAAGAACAGTATGCTATATATGCCAGGTCCCTTGAAACAGCAAGGATGGACCGGCTCCCGGCAAATTATGGAAAATCTATTACACAGACAGCACTGTCCTAAAGGTAGGTCTGGCCTCCTAAATGTCACAACCACAAATTGACATGCTCTCAAAAAGTTTTCAGCTCAACACAGTGGCACAGAAAAGGAAGTAACTTTGAAGACATAATCTACAAAACTCGAGAACTATTTTAAAAGATTTATTCAATAGGATTATTCTCTAATAGAAGAAAATAGTGTCCCTTATAATGTACACAATATTCCATGGGAAAGTACGCAAGTGAAGTCCATATAGTATACAAGAGCTCACAGATCTTTAAGGTAGAAACCATCAACCCCATAATTTCACACATACACCAGGAATAAAACACAGCAGCACCAAGTGATATGGGAACAGAATCACAATAATATTTCCTTTTCAAAATATTTCAAATGATTTCAATATAAATAACACTCTAAGTAAGTGTACATATGGAAACATCAATTCCTTTGATATATTCAAGTATAGCAATATTTACTAGCTACATTCAAAGTTTAAAATACACTGGGTGTACTAATTTAGAGCAATTCCTGAAAGGCATTTTGGCTACCTATCTAGTGTGAATTCATTGATGCTTTAAAATTCATAATCAATTAAATACTTGGATAACATTTTTATATCTTTAAAAATCTGTTAAGGCATAAGTTACTTGGAGTTTTATAAACTGTATACTTTAAACAAAAGTCCTTCCTATTATATCATGAATGTAGAATTTCTACCCAATTGCAATCCCTGATAAGACTGGGGCTGTAGGTCCAGCTATATGATTTCCCACATTCTTTAGTTTTAAGGTTTCCCCCTAGAATAAATACCAATGTGAGGAATCAGCTACAGATGCTGATGAAAGGCTTTAGGACAATGTTTACATTTGTATTGTTTCTCCCCAGTATGAATTCTCATGTCAGGTAAGGTTCCCATAGTGAGTAAGCTTTGTCACATTCTTTATATCTGCTGGACTTCAATCCAGTAATAATGATATGTTGTATGAGATATAAATGAGGATATATACTTTGAGATATGCCTGATAATTTGTAAGACCTTGTTTTATCATTCTCAATGTAGCTTCAACCATTGAAGCTTACATCCTTAAATGAAAACTTTATATTATTGCTGTTTTTCTTTAGAATGATTCCTAAAATGTTGAGTAGGTTAGACCACAGGTTAAAGGATTTCTAACATTTTCAACAGTATAAGGCTTTCCGTCATTGTAAAATCTCTGATGTTCAGTAAATTTTTAGCAGTGGGTAAAGGCTGCAGCCCAAACTATACATTTGTAATGACTTTCTTTAGTATGACGTCTCTCAGGTACAATAAGAGACGAATGCCTTTTAAAGGCTTGGTCTACGTTTTTCACATTCATAAGGCTTCTTCCCAGTATCCATTCTGTGATGTTTAGTAAGTTCTCACAGCTGGTCAAGGACTTACAACACTCCACACATCTGTAAGACTTCTAGGAAGTATGAACTCTGCTGTAAAATGATGCAGGAACCCTGAGAAAATGCGGTTACATTCTCTGCATTTATAAGGCTACACTCTTTGGTGAACTCTCTGATGAAAATTAACGGATGAGGACTGGCTAAAGGCTTTGCCACATTCTCTACATTTATAAGGCTTCTCTCCAGAATGAACTCTCTGATGCTTAGTAAGGTCTGAGGACCAGCCAAAGGATTTGCCACATTCTCTACATTTAAAAGGCTTCTCTCCAGTGTGAACACTCTGGTGGTTAATAAGGTATGAGGAGTAGACAAAAGATTTGCCACATTGTCTACATTTATAAGGCTTCTCTCCAGTGTGAATTCTCTGATGTGAAGTAAGGGATGAGGACTGGCTAAAGGCTTTACCACATTCGTTACATTTATAAGGCTTCTCTCCAGTATGAACTCTCTGGTGGTAAGTCAGTTTTGATGAGGTAGTGAAGGATTTGCCACATTCTCTACATGTATAAGGCTTCTCTCCACTGTGAACTCTCTGATGCTTAGTAAGTTCTGAGGAGCTTCCAAAGGATTTGCCACATTCTCTACATTTATTAGGCTTCTCTCCAGTGTGAACTCTCTGATGAGAAGTAAGGGAAGAAGAGGTGCCAAAGGATTTTCCACAATCTCTGCATAGGTAAGGCTTCTCGCCAGTATGAATTCTCTGATGACGCTTAAGGGATGAGTAATGGGTAAAAGCTTTGCCACATTCATTACATTTATAAGGCTTCTGTCCAGTATGAATTCTCTGATGCTTAGCAAAGTATGAGATATCCCTAAAGTCTTTGCCACATTCATTACATTTATAAGGCTTCTCGCCAGTATGAATTCTCTGATGATAATTAAGGTGTATTGCCAAACGGAATTCTTTGCCACATTCTGAACATTTGAAAGATTTCTCTCCAGTATGTCCTCTCTGATGTTGATAAAGGGATGAGGATTGGCTGAAGGCTTTGCCACATTCTCTACATTTATAAGGCTTCTCTCCAGTATGAACTCTCTGATGTGTAGTGAGGTGTGAGAACCGTCTAAAGGCTTTGCCACATTCTCTACATTTATAAGGTTTCTCTCCAGTATGAATACTGTGATGACGATTAAGGGATGAGTAATGGGTAAAGACTTTGCCACATTCATTACATTTATAAGGCTTTTCTCCAGTATGAATTCTCTGATGGTGACTAAGGGATAAAGCCAAACTGAATCCTTTGTCACATTCTGAACATTTGAAAGACTTATCACTAGTATGAGCTATCTGATGTTGATTAAGGGATGAGGACTCACTAAAGGTTTTGCCACATTCTCTACAATTATAAGGGTTCTCTCCAGTATGAACTCTCTGATGTTGATTAAGAGAGGAGGACTCGCTAAAGGTTTTGCCACATTCTCTACATTTATAAGGCTTCTCTCCTGTATGAACTCTCTGATGTCTATTAAGAGCGGAGGAATCGCTAAAGCCTTTGCCAGATTCTCCACAATTATAAGGCTTCTCTCCAGTATGAACTCTCTGATGCCTAGTAAGGTGTGAGAACCGTCTAAAGGCTTTGCCACATTCTCTACATTTGTAAGGCTTCTCTTCACTATGAACTCTCTGATGCTTAGTAAGGGATGAAGATTCGCTGAAGGCTTTGCCACATTCTCTACATTTATACGGCTTCTCTCCTGTGTGAACTCTCTGATGGTTAGTAAGGGATGATAAAACACTGAAGGCTTTGCCACATTCTCTACATTTATAAGGCTTCTCTCCTGTATGAACTCTTTGATGTCTATTAAAAGCAGAGGGATCGCTAAAGGCTTTGCTACATTCTCCACAATTATAAGGCCTCTCTCCAGTATGAACTCTCTGATGAGTAGTAAGGTGTGAGAACCGTCTGAAGGCTTTGCCACATTCTCTACATTTGTAAGGCTTCTCTTCACTATGAACTCTCTGATGCGTAGTAAGGTGTGAGAACTGTCTAAAGGCTTTGCCACATTTACATTTATAAGGCTTCTCTCCTGTATGAACTCTCTGATGTCTATTAAAAGCGGAGGAATCGCTAAAGGCTTTGCCACATTCTCCACAATTATAAGGCTTCTCTCCAGTATGAACTCTCTGATGAGTAGTAAGGTGTGAGAACCGTCTAAAGGCTTTGCCACATTCTCTACATTTGTAAGGATTCTCTTCACTATGAACTCTCTGATGCATAATAAGGTGTGAGAACAGTCTAAAGGCTTTGCCACATTCTCTACATTTATACGGCTTCTCTCCACTATGAACTCTCTGATGAATACTAAGTCTTGAGGGCCAGCTAAAGGTTTTGTCACATTCTGAACAATTATAAAACTTTTCTCCCATGTGATTTCTATGATGTTGAGTATGTCCTGAGGACTGACTAACGGCGTTTCCATTTTCCCTGAGTTTGTAAAATTTTGCAATAGTATGAATTCTTCCCTTATGTACAATAAGAGATGAATGACATCTAAAGGCTTTGCCACATGCTTTACATTTGTAAGGCTTCAGTCCAGTATGAATTTTCTGATGTACCATACAACCTGAAGGCCAATTAGATGTTTCCCTAGAATCTTTACATTTATAAGGTTTTTTTCCACTATGGATTTTTTCTGCTTTATTTGTATTGACTATTTGACTGGAGATTATACCACAATGATTCCATTTGTAAGCTTTTTTCCCAGTACAAATATTCTCTTCTTCAGTGTAATTTGATGACTGATGAAAAGACAGGACAAATTGACTTCCTTTGTGTGTCTTCTCCACAATAGGAATAACCTCATGTATTTTGTGATTGGACCTTGGGTCACAGACTCTTCCACTTTCATAATGGTCCTCTGCAAGTTCGCTTCTCCAATGATTAAGATATGACTCTCGCTTAAAGTTTTTCCAATGTTCATTCCATTGATAACTTCTGTCTCCATTATATGTACTCTGGTAGTAATGAGAGATAGATAGGCTTTTACTGACAGTTTTAATTTCATTAAACATGTACACTGTTCCATAAGAATCATTTCACGATACTCACTAAACCAAGATGGTTGTACAACGAAAGCTCTCCTAATTTATTAAAATAATACACAAAATTAAATACAAAATAATAATGATCAGATGAAGAAGAATGAATCCTTTTTTAAAAGATTGCCACCCCTAACCAGTTTGGCACAGAGGACAGAGTGTCAGCCTGCAGACTGAAGGGTCCCAGGTTCAATTCCGGTCAAGAGCATGTACCTTGATTGTGGGCACAACCTCAGTAGGGGGTGTGCAATAGGCAGCTGATTGATGTTTCCCTCTCATCGATGATTCTAACTTTCTATCCCTCTCCCTTTCTCTCTGTAAAAACATCAATAAAATAAATTAACAACAACAAAAAAGATTGCCAAATTGGCCAGCAAGCATGGTTCAATGGCTGAGTCTCGAAGTTTGAACCAGAATGACGGTTCTATACCCCATCAGGGCACAAGCCCCGGGCTCACAATCAGTCTCCAGTGTGAGGAATGCAGGAGGCAGCCTGGCAATGATTCTCTCTCATCACTGATGTTTGTCTCTCTCTCTTCATCTCCCTGCCTCGCTGAATTAAAAAAATATATAATGAATAAAAATAATAATAAAAGCACTAGCTGAATTGGCTCAGTGGATAGAACTTTGGCAAGTAGACTGAAGGGACCTGGGTTTGATTCCAGTCAAGGGCACATGCTCAGGTTACGGACGCCATCCTTCTTGAGGGGCAGGTAGGAGGCATGCAATCAATGATACTCATCATTGATGTTACCATCTCTCTCCCTCCTCCCTTCCTCTTTGAATTCAATGAAAATATATTTAAAAGTGATAATAATAATAATAATAAGAATGATTGCCCAATTGAGCACATTTAAATTTTATAGGTATGTTATAAATCACTACATTTTAGAAATGATTGCATGAAAGTTTAATCTCACCCTACATCTTACAAAATTCAAATGATTATTTACACTACAGACTATGTGAATTCCTACACTGTCCAGATTTCCCTTCCAAGAATGCATAACATTAAAAGTAGTTTTGAACATTCACGTGCAGAAACACACTGATCTGCCAATGTAACTGACTTTAAAGTGGAAAGTTTCCCAAATGCATAATATACTTGACCTCTTTAGGTAACAACAATTTTATTATGATAACTGTTGCAGATTAGTTCTGTTTATATTAACAACTTCTGTTCTCATCACATTTTTCCTCAAATACCAAGACTTTAATTAAGTGTAGATCATCAAAGCGACGACACCTTTCATATCTTACCAATATCATTTCAGAGAATAATTCTTGTATTCCGGTATTTGGCATAAAGGCCTGGTCATCTTCAGATGACATAGCTGAAAGAAAACAAATTTTCAGTTTGACAATTAGGTGAGTGCACTTTGAAGTTACCAGCAAGTATTGACCAAACAACATTTCTGAGTATTCCAAGAGCCAGTGACGGAATCAAGGAAAGCTCAAGATAGGTACAATGAGGAAAACAAACATCAAAGAGGGGCAAAGTGTTGCTTACATTTGCTGATCATATCTGCTCCAACCCCCTACCACACAATGGCAATATTATAAAAACACTCCCCATTCACAGTTTCGTCGCTGGAGAGAGATGAGGGAAGTGCGTGTTCAATGATCTCCATGTTTTGAAGCATCCTGAATAACAAGTGGCTGTTGTGCATGACACAGAGTGTGGAGAGAATGGAGGTACAAGGTGAGTGCCCCATAGTGGCAGCTACAAACGAGAAATTGTTCGAGCACCACAAAGACTGTGATACTGAAGATGTATATCAAGCATGAAAGATACAGCGGGTCCGAGAAAGAAACAGACAACACTTCCAACTGGGAAATTAAACAGCCGAACCAAGAACCAAGATCCGGAAAACAGTACTGACTGAAAGTAGAATATGTTCCACAGATGGCTAGTAGTTTTCTCTTATAGAAAGCATGTTCAAAAGCCTGTGTTTACAATTCAGGAATCTCAACAAAAGATATCAGTCATGAAAAGAAAAGAAAAAAACAGAAAAAGTGTACCCTCCGAAAAACAAAATAAATGTAATCAAACTGGCACTACATTAATGGAAATATGTTAATTACCTCAAAAAGAATGGAAAAGTCACCAAAATAGTATGTAATAAAAAAAATATATATAATGAGAAAATAGTTTATAAATACCTCACCAAAAGGGGAAATTGAAATACATAATACCTGAATTAAAAAATACAGTAGAATCATGAATGAAAGACGTGATAAACTCAGAACATCAAAGAATTTGCCTGGCAGTGGTGGCTCAGCAGTTGAGCTTCAATCTATGAACTAGGAGGTTACGGTTTGGTTCCACATCAGGGCACAGGCCTGAGTTGAAGGCTCGATCCCCGATCATACAGGAAGCAGCCGATCGATGATTCTCTCTTCACTGATGTTTCTCTCTCTCTCTTTCCCTCTCCATTCCTCTCTGAAATCAATAAAGATACATTTTTAAAATAATAATTAAATAATCAAAGAATTTGTACATAAATCATTAAAATTTTAATTCACTAACATTTTGACTCAGAGAAGCAAACACATGGAAATGTGAAGAGAATTTAAGGAACTCCTAAGATATTAAGAAATAGACCACCGAGGGGACCCCGTAGAGACAGAATAGTAAAAAGGAGAAGGTAGCTTATATAAAAAATTAATTAAGACCCTGACAATTAGAGAAAGCGACATACAAATGCAAGCAGCTCAGTGAATTCTATGTGGAATGAATATAAACATGATAACAAATAAAAAACAATGAAAATATGAAGAATCCCAGAATACTATCTAAAAACATATAAAAAATAACTCCTCATGGAAAAGACAGCTCCTCTAAGATCTTTAGGGGGTTTCTAAGCCAAAAAATATTGTGGGAAAAAGAGCATGATATAAAACTTGGAACTGATAAATGAACATAAACCATCCAACAAGAATATTGAGCCCTAACCAGTTTGGCTCAGTGGATAGAGCGTTGGCCTGAGGACTGAAGGGTCCCAGTTTCATTCCGGTCAAGGGCATGTACCTTGGTTGAGGAACATCCCCAGTGGGAGCTGTGCAGGAGGCAGCTGATCGATGTTTCTCTCTCATCGATGTTTCTGGCTCTCTATCTCTCTCCCTCCCTCTCTGTAAAAAACCAATAAAATATATATTTTTTAAAAAAAGAATATTGAGAGAACAGATGGTAAACAATGGAGAGGAAAAAACATTTCCAGCTCCAAAACTTTCTCATAATGAGACCATCTCATCATTAGACCTGCCCTATAACAAGTCTTTTAGAAATATACTTCTGGAGGTAATTTTAAAATTATACACAACACTAACATATGAACATATAAAGATACCATGTATGTGAAAATGTACAGAAATATGAAAATTTGTGGTGTTCTATTAAAGAAACACATATCACTTTGATTTCTTGTGGAAGTTTAGAAAATAAAAGGAACTGTCCGACCTGAGTAGCTCTGTAGTTAAGCGTTTATCTATGAACCAGGAGGTCACAGGTTGATTTCTGGTCAGGGCACATGCCTATATTGTGGGCTCCTTCCCCAAATGGGGTGTACAGGAGGCGGTCAATCAATATATTTTTAAAAATGCATTTTTAAAGAAAAAATAAAAGGAATAAAATCTTAAATCTCTTCTATTAGACAAACAACATTAAAGATAATGTGATATCAACTTATGTGGGTTCATGGGTAGCAATGACAACCAGCAGAGATTCTGTATGAAACTGACACTATGGATTAAGGTACATTGTTATAATTTTGTTAAAAAAATATATTTTATTGATTTTTTACAGAGAGGAAGGGAGATAGTTAGAAACATCGATGAGAGAGAAACATCAATCAGCTGCCTCCTGCACACCTCCTACTGGGGATGTGCCCGCAACCAAGGTACATGCCCTTGACCGGAATCATACCTGGGACCTTTCAGTCCGCAGGCCGACGCTCTATCCATTGAGCAACCGGGTTCGGCACATTGTTATAATCTTAAGATATTTTAAGATTTAAAATATGTTGTAAGATAAGATTACAATATATTTTAAGATTTAAGATTATATTGTAAAAAATCAATAAAAAAATATATATATTATATATATACATTTTTTTATTTTATTGATTTTTTTACAGAGAGGAAGGGAGAGGGATAAAGAGTAAGAAACATCGATGAGAGAGATACATCGGTCAGCTGCCTCCTGCACAGTCCCCACCGGGGTTGTGCCCGCAAATAGGAACATGCTCTTGACCGGAATCGAACCTGGGACCCTTGAGTCTGCAGGCCGACGCTCTATCCACTGAGCCAAACTGGTTAGGGCAATAAAATATATATTTTTAAAAAAAGGTATTTTAAGTTGTTCCATGGTGACAACAAAAAATAGAAATATATATACATATTTATATAGAGATATATAGATATATATAACTCATTTCTCAAAACATGGTATATAACACCAACCAATGAAGTTAGCTGTGTCCCTGTACAGGAACAGAAATTAATACAGAATAACAAATTAAATATGAATTTACAAGATTACCAGCATAATGGAAAATAAAATATTAAGGGTACTTCCTAAGAAGGTGCATGACTTCTATGCTGTAAAGTATAAAATACTACTGACTGCCCTCTGCAGTGTGTCTCAGTAGTTAAGCATGGGGCCCTGCCCTCCACCAAATGATTGCAGGTTCGATTTCAACCTTGTTTGGGACGTGTAAGAAGCGAAACAAACTATGTGTCTCTCTCACATCGTTATTTTATTCTCTATCTCTGTTTCTACCCCTCTCTCCCTCCCACTCTCCTTAAAACTCAATGAAAAAAAGAATTATGTTGGATCAACAAAAGAAAATATATACACACACATTGACGGCTGTAATCAAAGAACAAATCAGTAAGTTGGAAAACACATTCCATGATATTACTTTGTAATGCTAACAGTATCAGCTGTCATTGGTACCCAAAGTGACCTAGACATTCAAAGCAGTCCCTATCAAAGTCCCAATGACACTTCTGGTGGAAATAGAAAAGCTCTTTCTAAAATTAATATTAATGTCACAGGACTCCATGTAACCGAGTCAATCAAGAAAAGAATATATGAAATTAAAGGCTTCAGGCTTCCTGATTTTAAAACATACTTCAAAGCTTCTGTAATCAAAAACTATAATACAGCCCTAGCCGGTTTGGGTCAGTGGATAAAGCACCGAACTGTGACCTGAAAGGCCCCAGGTTTGATTCCTGTCAAGGGCACATGCCCGGGTTGCAGATTTGATCCCCAGTTGGGGACATGTAAGAGGAAGCCTATCAGTGATTCTCTCTCCTCATTGATGTTTCTAAATATCTCTCCCTCTCCCTTCCTCTCTGAAATCAATAAAAAAAACAAAAAACTGTAAACAAACAAAGAAATAAAAAACCCGTGATAGACATTACAAGAAATAATGAAGCAAGATAGAATAAAAGGCCTACATAGGAGAAACCAAGATGGCGGAATAGGTAAACACCGGAGATTGCTGCCTCGAACAACCACTTCAAAAATACAACTATAAGACGGAATGGACATCATCCAGAACCACAGGAAGGCTAGCTGAGTGGAAATTCTACAACTAGAAGGAAAGAGAAAAGCATACCGAGACTCAGAGGAGGCGCAGTACGGAAGTAAAATACTAAGGTGCGGAGGTGCATGTGGAGTGGGCTGGCGGCTGAGGGCGCGTTTGTCATTTACAATCAGGAGGGAGTATCAGGCTCTGAGCTCCAGTTCTGAGCGAGTCTCTAGGTACCCAGACTCATATGGGAGAAGCGGGACTGTCTGGCATTGGTCGGAACTCGAGGGCATTTTTCTATCCGAGGGGCTTGCAGCGATTACCAGGACACTGAGAAGCAGAGCTTCTGAGGGCAGGACTGAGAGCAGCCATAACTGCTAGCCCCACCCTGTTGGTCCCGTGGGACCCGCCCCACCCAAGCCCTGCAGGGAAGCTTTTGCTGGATACCCTCAGGTATAGGCGAGATTAGCACCTCCCTAGAGATCCAGGAGCCAGGAAGCCCAGACGTCATAGTGGGACCATCCAGTTTGCAGCTCCGTGGAACCATAAAGGACACACTCAGGGGGCAGACTCGGTGAGCACTAAAGCCCCATCGAAGCAAGTCTTGTCCCAGAGGGGTGTCTCCAGCACAGAAGTTCTCCCACTGCAGACACAGCTGATTCTCACAGCCAACTGGCCTGGAGGTCAATTCCTCCCAGTGATAACTACAACAATCAAGGCTTAACTACAACATGACTGTGCACAAAGACCACAAGGGGGTGCACCAAGATTGTCCTCCTCAGGTAATTGGGGAGGCT